AACTACCGACGAAAACATCGCCAAAGTTCACCAAATGGTGCTAGACGACCGCCGAATTAAAGTGAGAGAGATAGCAGAGGTTATGAACATGTCAAAAGAACGTGTTTGTCACATATTAAATCAACATTTAAACATGAGAAAGCTGTCCGCGCGTTGGGTGCCGCGTTTGCTCACGTTAGACCAAAAACGTGTTCGAATGAACATTTCCAACGCTCTGTTGGCGCAGTTTAGGCGCAATAAATCCGAGTTTTGGCGCCGATTAATTACTGTAGATGAAACTTGGATACACCATTATACGCCCGAAACAAAAATACAGTCCAAACAGTGGACTGCAAAGGGGGAACCGGCTCCAAAAAAAGCAAAAACTGTTTTTTCGGCTGGCAAAGTGATGGCGACTGTTTTTTGGGATAGTCATGGAGTTATTTTAATCGATTATCTTCAAAAAGTAAAAACCATTACAGGATCATACTACGCATCATTACTTGACAAGCTGAAGGCAGAACTTGCGGAAAAACGGCCACATTTGCAGAAAAAGGAAATCCTGTTTCACCAAGACAATGCACCGTCTCACACCTCAGCGGTTGCCATGGCGAAAATCCACGAATAACGGTTTGAACTGCTTGACCATCCGCCTTACTCACCAAATCTAGCCCCAAGCGACTTCTTTTTGTTCCCTCATCTAAAAATTGCGCTCGGAGGACAGAGATTTTCGTCAAATGAAGAGGCAATCACCTTCGTGAACAATTATTTTGCAGAGAAAAATGCCGAGTACTATTTGGACGGGTTACAGAGATGGGAGCATCGCTGGAAGAAGTGTGTAGAGTTACAAGGAGACTATGAAAAATAAAAAAAAAAATTCTGAAAAAATGTCTTGTATCTTTGTTAGGTCGGAAACTTTTCAGACCACCCTCGTAGGTACAGCTGTTGGTAAATTATCAAGTTCAAATTAGTTTCAAACTATACATTTTATTTGCCTGAATAAAGGTTGTTTTAATTTCTTTAACAGAGTACAAATTGTAATGTTGCAAATTCTAATACACTTCAGCCCGTTACACATTAACATAAGTGGCAAGCCACTTATGTTAATGTAAATATACTTTGAGTACCTACAACTTTTAAGTTAGATAATTTTTACAATTAATAAAATGTCTAATGACTAGTGTCATTGTTACCTTAACCACAGAATTATAACACCAGAAGCGACAGTTCCGCTTCCAGCCAATTTTCTTTTCGAGTGAGCATGTGCGAAAATCGCCATTATTTTGTAGGTATTTCCGTCAACCTCAAAATAATTTATGTTTGATGCATGTGTCAACAGTTATTGTATTTCTTGTATTCGTGCATAAATACTTTTTTATTTCTGTATAATATCATGAGTAGAAAAGGTGGAACAGTTTGTGTTGTTCGTGGGTGTTAGTTCGCTGTAGTATTATATTTTTTATATACTTAAGGATGTTCGATACATCTCTTGCGGGGCAGGCGGGAGGGAAGCCTATGCTTATACACGGTAGTTTCGCTGTAGTACCAACCTTACATAAATTAGTTTGAGTGAACTAAATATAATATATACGAATGAAATTTATACAACACATATTAGCTTGCATATATTTTCCGCGTTTAATGCACGGCAATTAACTTTTTATTTGAATAAAAGTGTCTATTTATTCATTAGAGCTTGTAAAATTATGGATGAAATCTGGCAACATTGTTATGGCGTGGTGGTAAAAGTTGGGTAAACTGTCATTACTGTCAACTTTGCCCTTATTCCGTAAACATGAATGAACATCCAAGATACAAAGGAAAAGTAATGACTGAAAAGTAATATAAAATGTGTATGAAACAGATTGTGGGTTGATGAGAAAAAAGTAAAATGTGCAAACCGAGAATCCATATGATAACTATCAAGAAGTTCAGTGTATGATAGTGAGACGTCGCCTTGTCAAATTGAAGATCATGACAGAACATATATACTGTTCGTTTCGCAGAGATCATTTAATTTTTGTTTCATCTTGCTATTATATTGCATTAGATTACAAAAAATTAATTATTACTACATATGTTTTCGACTGGAATAATTTTATAGTCTATAATCGAGCTATTCAAATATAGCACGTCAGTCGAAGCGTTAAATACAGCGTACAGTGTTGCCATATTTCCTTTCATTGGATCAGATGTTTGTTCAAATTTGTCAAAACGTTATATATTCATTCCATTATCTCAATAATTACATTGTAAGTGCATATTTTTATTGTTTTAAAATGTTTAGTAATATTTAATTCTTTAATTACAATTTTATTTTCCCGATCCTAACCATTTTTAAGAA